ACTTCAATTCGCCTCGGAGAGACAAGGGCAACATACTCTGGAGCAGGTTCATTCCTTGGCACGTCCAAACGTGAGTTGTGTGGGGCCGGGGAGGAGGACAGCATGGAGACGTCCTGGTCGAGGTCTACGGACGACGCGTCTGGGGTCGGTGACTGTAACGTCACCTGTGGGGCATATGAGAATGGGGCTTTGTGAGGCAGAGGTGAGTAGTCCATTTCGTTTCCAAATCCCGGGGACGACGACACGATGGGAGGAGTCGTCACGCCTTCCACATAGATTGGAGGAGTGGTGGTGCCCGCTGTTCAAGTGGTGTTAGCATGGCGTGCAGTAGGGATTGATTGGATGCAAGTGTCTCTTACCTCGATCGGCAGCTGCACTGAAGGCATGTGTCGTGAAGAGCGATCTTCTAGGGGTGGGAAGCTGCGGACTGGAACTCGTTAGCTCGTGCTTGATTGTGGTGAGGAATGCTGTCCACCTTTGGTCGATGTGGAAATTCTGTGACAGGTCGGCGGCCAGGCTGGCCGTGGGTGAGGACCCACGGGCATGCTTCGGTGAGAAGTAGTCGGGCTGAGAGCGCTTCATACTCATGTCGCGGAAGTTGAAGTTGGTCGAGCCAAAGAGGTTCTGTCGAGGTCGAGCTGCTGCTGGCAGGTCGCGTCCTAGACCCCACTGAGGCGGCTGCATAGCAGCACACGGCGAAGACCACTCCATCATGTCGTTGCGAGCCAATTGAATCAGTTTTGTGCCAACTGTCAACGAGAATGCTGCTCAGTCACAGTGTGAGGCACCGCGAGTCAGTGACTACTAGTAGGTAGACGGTAGCTGGGCGGAGGGCGTTCGTGGGCGAGGGAAGAATCGTCAATCGGGATATTCGTCGGCGTGATATGCCGGGCAACTAAGCATATAAGACCAGAAATTGAATTCTATCCTAAGATGCTGTCGTCGGAGATGCGCACAGATGGCAGTGAGGGCGAGGAGGTCGGTGCAGGGCTATCGAGCTGAGGACCTGGAGGGCATCCCACGAACGAAGGATGGGAGGTGATGCTTGGGTCAACTGCGATTGCTCTGTGCCAACGGCCCTCTGATGCCGGCGGAGGGAGGGGAAGGGAGGATGATGTGCCTTCTGGGGACGGAGAAGAGCAAGCACGAGAGGACGGAGGAGAGAGCAGAGGAGAGAGAGGAGAGAGGAGGAGAGGTCAAGATGAAGAGTTGAGAGCAGAGAGCACGAAGCTGCACTTGGTTTCCAGGGCGATGCCAGCCTTGGTGGAGTTGGGCGGTGGGCCCGTGCGATTTGCAGCGGCGGCGGCTATCGTCGTGTGGGACGTGTGCAGAGTGCAGAGCAAGGTTGTGCACGTTAAAAATGAACCGCCGAATGACGATCTTGCCAGCACTTGAGCAGACGGGCCGGCGCCAATAATATAGATCGCGATCTGGTGCCTGGCAGGCTGGCTTCGTGCCAGCGACTGGCCGTGCAGTTGCGGCAATTGCTTCTGGCGACACACTGGAGACTCGGAGAGTGGAGAGACCTGAACTGGCTGGGAGGAGCATCAACATCCATCCATTTAGCAGCAAACATCCATAGCAGGAGCAGGATCGATAGCAGCAGCAACATCCATAGCAGCAGCAACATCCATAGCAGCAGCAACATCCATAGCAGCAGCAACATCCAT